CTGTGCTAGTGGGTGTAAACACTTGGTCAGCATAGTGAAAAGCAAAGAATTTCCTGACAGCCGGATAGAACAAGAAAGGGCACTGAGCAACTCAAAAGTCAGAACGACTTGATCCTAGTACTTCTCAGAGACAAGAATGAGCACAAAGTGTCAGGCAATACCTGAAATTAATAAGACATGTGATTTTTTTTTAATAGGCTATATCTACCAGTCCTTGGAAAGGCGCTACATCAATGGGGGATAATTTTTAGTTTCATCTAAACAGAACTCTAGAGAAAGCCAAATAATAGTTGTCGAAATACGCATTCAAACAAGAGAGCTGCGGAAAACTCTTAAATCAAAAACTCTTCATGCTCTCTCTCGCTCTCTCTCCTCCCTCCCCCTGTGGAAAATAAGAAATGCTCTAAGTGTATGACAGTCTGCCCGAGCACCTGCCTTTCTTTCTGTGTTTTCCACACAGGCAGAATCCCCTGGAGTGATGGAATGGTGTTCATTAAGGGTGATCAGCTCTAAGCTGGCAGAGGCTCAGAAAAGAAATAATAGAGTTCCTAACAGCAGAGCCTGTTGATATGGAGAGGAGATTCAGAGGATGCCAAGAGGAAGGCTTCAAGTAGGAGGGTGAGTGGCAAGGCAAGGAGCTGAGGCTCCATAAGGGCGGCAAGCATGAATTAGAGAGCGGTTTCCATTCTCCTGCCAATTAAGTGCTTACTATTATGAGAGCTAAAAACTCTTCAAAATGAATAAATGGGTTAAACAGAATGGGGATTACCATTTAAGTAGAGCATTCTAACTTTGCTTCAGATCATGGGAATTCTATAAAATCACAAAGGAGAGAATTAGCTGAACCAAACAGTTTAATTTAATGGGAAATTTCTTTCAGAAGAGAAGCTGAGGAAAATTTCTGGAGTCAAGTAATAACATTTAGAATTGGAGGCATTTGCGTACAAAGCAATGTCCATGGATAAAGTTAAGTAACAGGAATGTTCAGAAAGACCTAGAAAAATCTGCGATAGAGACCTCAGGCACTTAAGAAGAACAAAGAAAAATGTAAGATCTTCATAGGAAATAACCAGGATAGTAGAATTTGACCTAAATTAAATGAAAACATTGTCGACGCATGCTATCTGTCTGTCAATAGAAGTTCATGTGTGCATAAATGTACATTCACATATAAATGCATATACACAAATTTACAGGTGAACACACGTATATGCATCTGCATATAAACTCATAAACATACCCTCCTATTTTAGAAACCACCCCAAGATCATTTCTTTTTAATTATAATTAAAACATGCAATGTTGCCAATTACCTTTTATGGATTTGTGTGAATTACAGATTAAATAGAAAATGAATATTAACTTGGGTGTCATTTCATTGCAATGTCTATTTTATGAGGTCCGAAAACTGGTGATTATTAATGCAAAGCACTATCAAAAAGTATAGGTTCCAATTATACAGCACACTATATATGCTCTTCTAAGGAGAAAACCTGATATCTCAGCCCATGCTCTCAAGGAAAACAAAACAAAATTATATATATTCTGAAATCTGAAATAAATCCCCCCAAATTAAATTATACTCAAAAGTATTTTCTCAGAATATGAATGCTTCTTAAGCATTTTAAGGATCGCTTTTTAAAATCATAAAATAGAAAAGAAGCTTTCCAATTATAAAATTTGCTCAGAAAACCACTATTGTGCTTTTAATTCTTTGCTAATTTAAGACCTTTAAAAAACAACAAAAACAGAAAGACAGCTAGAGCTGTCTTTTTTTTTTTCATTTAAATTTTGTAAGAAAGATATTCACAGGGCACAATTCCTGCACTAGACTCTGTGTGGCCTATTTATTCAAAATGTCTCATTCCGTATGGATTTCTTCTTTTATTTATTACTTCCAGGAAGGATTTTCTCTAATAAGTTAGCAACACAGGGGCAACAGATTTGAAATACAAGCCTTCAAATCACAGTCCCACATGGGCCACCTGCCATGTTTCTTCTAGAAGTACTAAGGAAAGGAGAGAGGCTCAGGCTTCCACCAGGCACAGGAGCCAACTCTTGGTGTGAGCTACAAGCAGGTGGTCCACAGGGGTCAAAGTTAAAGTTCGTGGAATAATTTAGAAATAGTTCTCTGCTTGGATCTCATCTAGGAAGCCTGAAAATACACCCTCTAATTAGAATGTAATTTCCAAAGCAGCCACGCCCTTGACTTTCCAGGGCTGTTTTATTCTCAGTGAAGAAAAGTGCAAACAGCCTCTGCACATTGCCAGAGATATCGGTCCATTATAAATTACCCCCTAAATGTCCAGTAGAGAAGGCAGCAGGCATCCTTGGACAGTGGAGCCAGCCAGTGAGTCATCAGCCCTCAGTATCTACTCTCAAGAGTAGATAAAGAAAACTCAGTCAGATTCAACAGTTGCTCTTTGCACTTTTGACTTATGCAGCTGAGCTATCCCATGGAAGACTGGAAAAAAGAGTGGGCTGTGCACTTGAAACTGTTCCCCCACCCCAGCCATCTCCTTTTTCTTTTCTTTTTCTGAGGCTCTCTCTGTCCAGCCAACCTAGCACCTCAGTGGGAACATTAACATCAATTCTGTGGAAGCCAGCTGTCCTGTTCTTCCACGGCACTCGGCACTCAGGGAGCCACACAGGACTCCTGGAACCAGAGTGAGCCAAAACTGACTCATTGCTGAAGTTCTCTTCCAGCCCTGCAGAGTTCTGAGCTGCCAGCTCCCTTTCCAAGGCCTATTGTTATTACAAAAGATCTGCTGAGCCTTCACAATGCCCTGAACAGTAAAGCCAGAAGCGAACACCCTTCTCACCTAAAGTGGAAAGAAGCAGACATTGACTTAGAAAGAAATGGCTGAGGACTCTGTTGGAGAAGGCCATGAAGGAAAGGCAGTCAGACAGCTTCATGGATTACTAAATCAGGGAGATGGACTAGCTACCTGGAGTACTGAATCAGTGAGATTGACTAGCTGTTACTATCACAATGGGAGACTTCTTGGTGCTGGCTGGGATGGAGTCACATTTTACCATGCTCCAAGGTGTCCGCTTCAAATGTTTCTTATACATCCAACAAGATAGCCTTCATCTACAAAAGTATGACTGGGAAACTAGCAGAAATAAGAAGGTTTGGAATTTTTAATCCTTATTCTGAGTCAGATGTTCACCCACAAGTATTTGAAAATGCTCGCCAGCTCGGGTTTCCAGTGGTATTACACGTTACAGCCATTATTTTCCCAAGTCTATTTATCTGCCAAAGGTCACCGAAGCACTCTCCTAGGATGTGATAGATCTCAATATCTGTACATTCTTTCTTTGAACGTTAGTCGCAAACTGGACACTTGTTCCCAAATGCTCCAGTGTCCCATGGCACACATTGGATCATTATCTCAGTAAGGAAACTATTTCCTGCAATATTTTTGAGCCATGTCCACTTAAGCAGTGAAGACAATGGAAAGAACAATTCACTTTAAATCCTGTCTTTTAACAAGATGAATTCTGTGTCTAAGATGAGCTCTACCAAGTAGCAAAAGAACTTTAACACGTTAATCCAAATCTCCAAAGCCTTTTGCCACAGTGTATTTGGGGTTTGGCTGTAAGGGATCTTATTTACATTTTCTCCTACTATGGGCTTGGAAAAGAAGACTGGAGAAATAAATCAATTAAATGGAACTCTTACAATTCTGCTTCTACAAAGAGGGGAGCGGAACTACACGTGTCCCCAGTAAGTGGTGGTTAAATTCTCTCCTGTATACCTTAGCACCAAGTCTAGTTTCTAGGGAATCACATGCAAAATATGCCAGCATTTCACCAAACCTTATGTTTTCCAATTTTAGAGTTAATATTTCGAAAAAAGAGGATCAATATATATTGAAAGATAAGTGTTTTTTTTTTCAAATGCTGTTTATGTGATTCTTCGGAAATGGCTGTATAAATCCTAATAAATTGTCACTAATTTCATTAAATTACATTACCTTCCTTCCTATTCGCTTCTCTAAGGCAAAAGTATCACAAATCTAAAGTTAAGAGAAAGAAAGCATGTTTGGGGAGCTTTTTCAGAAGAGAAAATTATAAATGTCTCTCAATAATATTTTTATTACTATTGCTAATTTTCTGCCAAATTGATGTTTTTCTAGTATTCAGTGAAGGCCAGGAACTGAGCATTCTTCAGAAGAAAGAAACTTCAAAACTTTTGAAGAAAAAAAAAGTAACACAAGAGGAAATCTATATTATAAATTGTCTGAAATGATGAGTTAACATTAAATTAGCTAGTATAACACTCGAGTCGGAGAAATGCATTATCTCTGCACTCTAGCATACTAATACCGAGACAGAGTAACCATGAACAAGAACTCAAAAGATTTCCTTCTATGCTTTTTCAAATGTGTCCATTTATACTCTTTCCTTTACTAAATACTTTTCAACAGCAAATGTAATTTAAGCAACATAGGGGACGTGGGGACTAGACATAACTTCCACTCGTCTAAGGCCTCACACTGAATTCACATTTTGAACATCACCCAAAAGACACCAAATATCCTAACCTTCTCAGAGTGAAATAAATACACCAATGCTTTGTAAATACTCTATAAAGCCACCTCAAGGGTAAGAGAAGTGTCAAAAAGACATAAATAGCAACATAAGAACAAGTTAGGTATCAACTGCCAAAAGAATAGCAACCACAGAACATTTTGTCCTTTAGATGTCATATTGTGTCGGACACGTACTTAAAGACACCTGATTTGCAATGAGTCCTCACTCAAGAAAGAGCTGGCTAAATCTAACAGTGGAGCATAACGTTTGCAGGCCAGTTACTCCATTCTAAAGAAGATATAAAAGCTCATAGTGTATTTAAATCCTACTTTTAACTCTTGATGTTTTAGCACCAGTAGAAACAATAGATTTAGAGATGTGTAGCAAAATTACTTGGGAAGGTAACTGAGGGCTTGCTATCGTAGCTGAATCACTCCAATTCTCTCTTAAGAAATACTTACTTCTGACGAGTTCACCATCTGAAGGATTTCTCCAAATGGACTGGTCCCGCATTAGCCCACACCTGGTGTGGCTACTGGTAGCTTGCCTTTTATCTTTCTCAGTATTTTCCTCATTACATGCTTCTGAAAAAGATAAACATTTATTACCACTTGAGGAGTGCTACCTGTCTTTCTGTATTTTGGGGAGGGTTGTTTGTGTGTTTGATGATTTTTGGAAACAGTATCTCCTAGGACACAGGCCTGGAACTCTTCTATGTAGCTGATGATAACCTTGAACTCCTGATTTTCCTACCAGTACCTCCCAAGTGCTGGAATCATAGATGTGCAGCACCATACATGGCTTAAGTTTTTCCTACTGCTTCCAAATCTGCCATAGGTTAAGGAGATATAATAGTAGCATTATTGGCTATTGCATATATTCTTGACCCATTAACATTTGCTGGGCTCCTACTGTCTTTTCATCACTAAGGAAACATGCTCACAAGAAAATAAAACCTATCAAGATCGCAGTAAATAAGTTTTAGCACAGCAAGTGATCTGTCATCATAGAGAAATGTAGAAAGGTTACATCAAGGATGAGAGTGAGTGAGTCCATACAGGTAGGAGGCAGGTGAGACAGAAAAAGTATCAAAGGAGAAGAGACTACAAATGATTGATGAACATGAAAGCCAGAGCAGAGTTGAATGAGAAGTAACTGGGCAGTGAGGATATAGGAAACAGGTACAGAGGTCTCTCTGTAGAAACCGAAGGAAAAAGTCAAAGAGTGTGCAATGCCTCCTCGGAGAGGCAAGTGTTTAGGATGAGAGATTGGTATGTAGGATTATGAGTTCTCAGGTGGAAAGACAACATGTAAGGAAATGGTATGCCTTATTGGGAGCATAAGTCAAACAACACACAACCTATAACACAAGGTAAAATGCATGCTATGAAAGGTCCGGAGCACTAAAGGAGTTCAAAAGACCAGAAAAAAAAATCTCATCAGGATTCGGAGATCAAGAAAGACACTATATAGAAGGGAGCGCGTTGGATGGTTTCTAAAAGATTAGAAGAACTTCAAAACGTCACATGGGAGAAAGGCGGAAGAACAGCATGGGAAAACTCCAAAAGCAGACACTTGGGCAAAGGTCCCAGCTCCAGGCTAGGAAGCTCTTTCAGAGGGACAGGAGGTGAGGCTGTGAAGTTCTGATGAAGATAGAATGTGGGTATCTGAATGTCAACAGAGGAAATCTGGACTTAATTCAAAAGCAAGGGGAACAAATCAAAGAAGCCAAGGAAGCTTTGTGAAATGACTAAGTAAGGCAGCGTATTAAGGAGAGTAATAAACAATCTCAATCTTAGTTGACTGGGGGACCATGAATATTTTTTATTTCATATAAAGGACAAGGAGGTCATCCTCAGAAGATCCACCTTTCCTATATCCTTTATATATTCACTGGATATGACAGAGATGCAGAGAGAGAGACAGAGAGAGAGAGACAGGCAGACAGAGACAGAGATACAGAGAGAGGAAGAAGAAGAGGAGGAAGAACAGAAGAGAGCCTACCTGCATAGGCTCACATATGTGAACACCTTCTCCAGGCTAATGGAGCTATTTGAAAGGGTTGTGGAAATGTTATGAGGTCAAGCCTCAATAGGTCACTTGGGGTAGGCCTTTCGGTATCATAGCATGCTCCACCTTCCATTCACTATGGGCTCCCTAAGTGCAGAAGAAATGTAACCAGGCAACTTCCTGTTCCTGTCACAGTGCTTTCTCTTCCTGCTGCCTTGTCTTCTATGTCAGGAGGACCTGCCTTTTTCCACAGTAAAGCTTGTCTCCCTTAAGATGGTTTTGTTGGGATATTTTATCATAGCAACAGGAAAGGAGCTAATATAGGCACTGAAGGGAAGAGTTAGCCACGTCCAAATAGACACCGAGGAGAGTTTAACTGAATGACATCAGAAACGGTGGTAGATATGAGAAACTAAGTAAGGTTTGCACAGATAAATGGACGGGGTTGGAAATGGCCAACTTTTCATCTAGATTTGATGGCAAAGGATCTAAAGAGTTGGAGAATAAGTTATACATTATGTACTAAAGACATATAGCATATACATTTATCCATTTCACTGGGTGATGTCCATATCTTGAAATATAACACATTACCCACCCTTCATGCAGTTCATAGTCTGAGAGATGAGTTCAAAAGTGAGTATTTGAGTGTGCAAACCAGAGACAAAGATATAGTTAGCTAATCTGCAGGGAGTGGGTGAAGTCCTGAGTAAATGTATATTGTTGGACATGAGCCAGCCATGTCAAGGACCAAAACCTTAGACTCATGGAGAATTGACACATTTCACCCTATGTGAGGCTCAGATAGATTGCAAAACCTTCCATTAGTCAAAAAGTTAATATTCATGGGGTATGAAGAAAATATATGTCATGTCCTCCTCCCTTTCAACCTGAAAAAAGAGCGAACATGTAGAGACTCCTTCTACTGATATTAGCTAAATCTGCCTCTGATTCACCAGCATCCATAAACCGTCCATGACTCAGCTGTATACTGTAAACGCTGCCTTCATGTTCCACTATGTAAAATAAACACAAGCTTCCAGTATGCTTCGGCTTCTCCATCAGAGAGCCCAGTACACCTGATCCCTATTAGGGGTGTGTGTGTGTGTGTGTGTGTGTGTGTGTCCATGAGTTTTGCCTTCTCTTCATTCTCTTGCTGTCCCAGTCAGATCAGTCCCTGGTACCATATTGAATACACAATAGTAATCATCCCCATATTCCACTGCTGAAGTATTTCCAATGACTGAGCTCATCAGCAGAGAGAATACAGTCTGTACCATTAGGGAGGAGTAGAGAAACTACATGATATCAAGCTACAGAGGCAAAGAAATGAAGGAGACTCAACTCAGACAGAAGTTGTTAGTCAATCTTGTTAACATTTCCAATAGAAGAGAGAAGAAATCTCTGCACATGCAAAAAAGTTTCATGTTCCTCAGAGGTTTCACAACAAATTAACAGTTCTGTCACAAAGCTCATTTCAACACATGAAAACTAGTTTGGTGTAAACTCCGGATGAAACCCAGAGGCTAAGATTGCTACAAAAAGTGTGTGTGTGTGTGTGTGTGTGTGTGTGTGTGTGTGGTGTATGGGGGGGTGTTCAGGCATTTTTAGATGGCAAAACCATATTCAAACATCAGTGAAATATAAATTAAAGCATACTAAACCAATATGTTCTACATTTCTCTAACATTTATTCAGCATTATCAGAGGGAAAAATGTAATCTTCAAAAGATGTGTTAGTTTCAATTAAAATCTTAACTTTCTTAAACAATTCCAGAATTAGTTACTGCTATAGTCACCTCCAGCCTTTTGGAGATTATCAAAAAAAAAAAAAAAAAAAGACTTTCTATGACCTCACTAGTTCACACGAACTGGCTTATCAGCAGTCTTACATGCTCATACTGTTACGAAGCTGACTGCCGCCAGGTGTCATGCTAGTAGGCTTGATTCAATTAGTAACTTTAATTGAAGCTGAATGAAATTAATTATATAATTTTGAGCTGTTCAAGTTTAATTCCATTAAAATTAATTCATGAAACCGAGGCATTATGAAGCATTGCTGCCTAAAAGAAAATAGGTATGAATAAACCCTCTAGACACACTTGACGCATATTTGAATCATGTCCAATATTCGAGTGCTAAGCACAGACCCTCTCAACTCCTTGCAGAATAAATGGCAATGACATGTGCTCCATAGACACATGGATTTACGATGATGTAACCTATTCCTGGGGTGGGGGGCAATGGAGTTCCTTCTACCCCAAATTATTTTTAAGAGACAGCTGATCACGCTTTTTAAAATGAACATTCGTATCTGCAAACTCTGTAATTAGATGATCCCTAGTATCCTGAAGTCAAAAGAGGAAAAGAAAAAAACTACCACTCCATGTCTCATTAGATTCAAAGGAAAATAAGTTATGGGTGATTCCTATGACATCACAATCACCAGGATGTCCAACTTTGCCTCCTTTGAAAGCTAAGTGTCTTGGCTTGAAAGCTGGTCTCTAGTTTGTCCTGTAATGATCTACTGCACCCAGCCCAAGGCATGACTCAGTAAAGACTCCCAGTAAAAACTTAAATTGTCTTAGGTTAATTCTTTACTTGTATAAACTAAGCTTCTGTGACCACTGAGAGTGCTAGAAAAACCTAATGCATGGACACCATTTTACTTGTATTATTTCACATTTCCTCATCTTAAAGAAATATCAGATATTAGCCTCATAAACAGTGGATATTTACACACATCACTGAGGAAATGGAAGGAAGGGAGAAAGAAGGATTTTACTGATAGACAATCATGCATGTGACAGACAACACCCAAACACAATCAACCTCAGCAACAAGTTTCAACCAGCTGTGTCCTTCTTCAGAGGAGTTAAATATTAAATATTTATCAGATGACCATTATCAATGTAGGCATGGTATAATGTTCATGATCATTATTAAAATAGCCCTGCAGAGTCACATGTGCATTGGAAAGCCAAGGATTCAATCCATTTCATTCTGTATATATGAAGATTTGTGGTTGCAATTCAGTTACTACCTAGGACGGAGACTCCCCAGTGCCAAGTGATTTCCTTACAATAGGATATCACTATGGACCCAGTTGTAAGAGTTTACAGGTATAGCCAATGGGTTCTTTCCTCTGTGTGATTTTTCTAAGCCATAGTTCTTGGTTTTGGTGATAAGTCAGAATCATGCAAAGAACTATTGCCACATATAGATGCACAGACCCTAACCTGAGAGGATCTAGTGCAGGTGGCTTTGCTGAATGGAAGAGTGATGTCAAAAAAGAAATATGACCAAGCTGGACAGGTAGTACGATTCATATCTTACTATTCACCTCCTCAACACAGGATTCCATGGAATCAGAAAATGAAAGTTTGCCCAAGCATCAAATGAACACATCTATATTTAGTTATACTTTCTTGTCAGGGCAACAATGAAAGTACAAAATCTGAATGATTTATAATACTAACCAGTTCTACCGATATACGGGGCAAAATAAATATGTTTTAGTACCAAAACTTGAAAATCTTTTAAAATTACCACAGGGCCAAAGGATTGGGGTGTA